GGGTTGGAGAGGGGTGAGGTGGTAGTGGGATGGGAAGGGAGTAGAGGGAGCGAATGGGGCAGTAATGCGTGAGTACCTGGTAGGCTGTAGGGACTTGTTTAGGAGGAGAAGATGAGGAGGAACACAAAGGGATTGTCCACCGAGGTCAGTTGGAAGGGGTGGTGGTAGTGGTATGGGAATGGGTGGGCCAGCAGTTGGAAGGGGTGGGAAGGGGTGGAAAGGGGTGAGGTGGTACCTGGTAGGCGGTGGGCACTTTGAAGTAGGAGAGGATGAGGACCAACACAAAGAGATTGCCCACCGAAAGCGGTTGGAAGGGGTGACAACGTTTGGAGAGGGGTGAGGTGGTAGTGGGAAGAGATGGGGCAGTAATCAGCACCCACCTGGTAGGCTGTATGTAGGCACTTTGAAGTAGGAAACGATGAGGACGACGACCAAGAGAACGTCCACCGAGAGCAGTGGGAAGGGGTGGTGGTGGGATGGGAAGCGGTGGGAAGGAGTGGTAGAGCAGAGCACGAGGACCCACCTGGTAGGCTGTAGCAAGGTTCAAAAATACGGTTTCGTAAAAAACGGTCCATTTTTTACAGTCCGTTTTTTACGGTAATTTTCCAAAAAAAACAGCGTTTTTTTGTTAGAGAACTGTTGTCACCAACAAAAAAAGGGGAAAACGAGGTCGAATACATTTTCAATCATGCCCACAAGCGCACGCATGCAAGGAGGGGTTCGTCCTCTTCCTCCTGGTACCTTTCGCCATCAATTTGGTCCCAGAAATCGGCCGATTTTTTCTTCAAACGAAACCACCTTCTGGAACCTTTTTAACCGTTTTTTACGGTCGTTTTTTACGGCCGTTTTTTACGGTAAATTTTCAAAAAAACGACGTTTTTTTTAACCTTGGGCTGTAGGCAGTTTGAAGTAGGAGAAGATGGGAAGGAAGAGAAAGAGATTGTCCACGGACAGAGGTTGGAAAGGGGTGGTAGTAGGATGGTAGATAGAGAGCAGAGCACCCACCTGGTAGGCTGTGAGAGAGCGTGAGTGGCACCCACCTGGTATGCTGTGAGAGAGCGTGAGTGGCACCCACCTGGTAGGCTGTGAGAGAGCGTGAGTGGCACCCACCTGGTAGGCTGTGAGAGAGCGTGAGTGGCACCCACCTGGTAGGCTGTGAGAGAGCGTGAGTGGCACGTACCTGGTACGCTGTGAGAGAGAGCGTGAGTGGCACGTACGTACCTGGTAGGCGGTGGGCACTTTGAAGTAAGAGAAGATGAGGACGAACACAAAGAGATTGTCCACGGACAGGCTCTGCTCCAATAGATACCTGCCAAGTGGCAAGCAGCAGAGAGAGAACCGGCGGCGAGATGGTGAGCGGAGCGGTTAAGTCGTCTCAAAACACGAATCCCCTCTTCTCCCTTGCAACCCTGAACCCTTTCTTGCCCAGCTCGCCGCCCATCGTATCCGCCCCTCTCTCTGCTTCCTTCCCCACTCACTTTGAGAATTCTCAAACCAATTTCTCCCTTGCTTCCTTCCCCGCTAGCCCAGCAACGTGCTTGCCCATCATCTCTGCCCATCATCTCTGCCCATCATCTCTGCCCATCATCTCTGCCCATCATCTCTGCCCATCATCTCTGCCCATCATCTCTGCCCATCATCTCTGCCCATCATCTCTGCCCATCATCTCTGCCCATCATCTCTGCCCATCATCTCTGCCCATCATCTCTGCCCATCATCTCTGCCCCTCTCTCCCCTTTCCCGCTCCGACGCTGTGGACGGCCCTTCCCACTCGCATCACCCCTCCCCACCCCTCCGCACCCCTCCCCTTCCGCCCCTCTCCCCCATGTCTGAGCCCGCAAAGGAACTCCGACGCTTTGATCGGCCCTTCCCACTCGCATCATCCCTCCCCACCCCTCCTCACCCCACCTTTCCCCTCCTTGCCTTCCCACACAACCCGTGCCTCACCCCGCAAAGAACTCCAACGCTTTGGTGAGTCGTGCCACTCGCATCACCCCTCCTCACCCCTCCCCGCCCATCCCCAACTCTCCCCATCCCTCTCCGCCCCTCCCCACCCCTCTCCCCCATGTCTCACCCCGCAAAGAACTCTGACGCTTTGGTGGGTCCTTCCACGAAGCCCACGACTAGTCCAAACGCCACTGCCGCTGCCACCTGATGGGAGGGGAAAAAAGAGGCGGACGGAGAGGGAGATGGGAGCAGGAGAACTGGGAACAATATAGAGGGCCCTCCCACCCCACCTGGTGAGAGGGGATGGGATGGGAAGGGAGGGGACGGGAGGGGGAGGGCGGAAGAGGAGAAAACGGTAAAAGATTAAATACCGAGGGGAAATGCGGAAGAGGGGAGCGGAGGGAGGAAGCAGAGGAAGGGGAATGGGGGGTGGGGATGCGGAAAAGGGGGGATGCGGAAGAGGGTGGATGCGGAAGCGGGGTGGAAAGTGGCGGAGGAGGCGGAATGCGGAGGAGGCGGAATGCGGAAGAGGCGGAATGCGGAAGGCAGGCATCTTCAATCGGTCTGTCCACATTTCAGTCTGAATATTCGAAGGCTGCTGCTGGCAGCAGATGCAGCAGCGACCGGATGGACGAGAGAAGGGGAGGAGAGGAGGGAGGGGGGATGATGGCGGATGATATCCGATTCTAAAAACTGAAGGCGCCCGAGTATAAGAACCATTCGAGACCACAGTTTCTTTTATCCGCGTTATAAGGTGTACCGATCGTGCGTGCTTCTTACCCAAAATCCGACGGTCCTCATGGCGGTCTGCGTTTCAATGATCTCCACGTCAGCAGGAGGCGAGAGCGGTGATAGGTCAAGCTCGCCAACGGTTGCCACCTTGGCAGCCACCGACTCGGGCAAGTCCAGGTCAGCATTGCTGACGTGACCGTCTGTAGAAGTACTTCTGGTGGAGCTTGATTCTGGCTGCTGGCTTTGGGCACGCACACACCGCCACGTGGCTTGATGACGTGGATGTTTCGGATTTGTTTGACGGGATAATCGAATCTGAGAAGAAGGAATTTCAGCTCTTAGCGACGAAAATCTTAGCGAAGCCAATGGTGCGAAAGAAGCTGTCGTCGCAAACGTGGCTTCTCTCGGCTGGCCAATGGCGACGGAATTGCCTAGCGATGCAGCGGTTCCTGGTAACCGCATAACCATGGTCGCCATCCTGTCCAAGCGAGACCTAACGTAATTACTGACGAGGAGACCTTGCCTCTCTTAGGTGCTAATTTTTCAATCGAGCTAGTTATAAAGTCGTTCACACCAGCAGAAGTTCCTCCTGAGGCTTGCGGCTTGGTGAATGAATGAGAATGGAAAATCGACCCTGTCGGGAAAAGGGCGTGATGCATCATGTGCAATTCGGGGTCCAATCTGTTGTGGGATCGTTTTGCAGGCTCGAGGGGGTTCAACGTGTTGAAGTTGAAAGTTGTACGCTTAGGTCCAAGATTAGCAACCAGTACCGCGCTTCGTTCACGAACTCGATGGTGCGCGCTCTGTTCAGTCGATTTGACGATCGTGGGCACATGGCCCAGAGTGATCGCAAGCTCACAGTCTGCAGCCCCAAACAATGATCCGACCGTCAATTCCAAGGGCGGGGTTGGTATGCGCCCTCGATATTCCCCCGAACACACCGAGGGTCCACGTCCAAGCCTGACATATTTGCGAATTGCGAACGCGGCTGAGTCGCAAATCGTGAAACAGGCGATTAGTGGCAAAAAAGTTCATCCTTCAACACCTACGTGGCTGGTTTCTGACGGTTGGAGGGTTAAAGGGCCAGCGAGGGTGACACGTCAACTTCCTCAACAACAGCAGTTTTACCGATTTGAATACTCCTCGGAGTGTGTGCACTCTTAGTCCATCGCTAGTTGTTCACTTCATAATGATTGTAAGTTAATTTCATTTTCCTTCGCGTCCCTGCTCAGCGCGTACACCACTGTTCCCGCCAACAGCATCCAACAGTAATCCGTTACCACTCGCGACACTCGCCTCGACACTGTTCCCGCCACTGTTCACGACGCGACCCAACCTCACGGTTCGGCTGGCAACCCGCGCTCCGGACGTCCGCCTCGACATTTCCCAACCTCGGCGCCAGGCCCGTCGGGCACCCCATTTTTCACACATTACCGTTACCACTATAGTTTTCGCTATATATTCTTCTCTCATGCCTCCGCTCATTGTACTCTTGCTTCGATAGTGCAATTCTCGCTCGCTCACTCCAATTGCACTCGTAACACTTTGTATCAGAGCCTACGATCTCTTCTCGGTCTGCACCCACGCCTTCGCTTCCTCGTTATCTCAACTTTTTGGGGGGGGGGGGTAGACGTCTCTCAGCGAAACAAGCACCGCCGCTCGTAGTGCTCTCTCGTATGTCGAAGATAGCAGGTAGAAAGATAGACCGAAAGAGGGTTTGCACTAGCAGGCAGTTGAGTATATATAGGAAACCCTAAATTGGGCTGTACTCGCTATAGAGTACCCCACTGCAGGCTAGACAAATACAACATGCTGACACACCCCCATAGCCAAAGTGGGGTGTAATCAGCACAATAAGCAGGTAGAGCAATAGTTCACAATGATAAGTAAAGCTAGAGGCTATCACAGAGGGCAAGTGAGGAGGAGGAGAGACTGTGGGGGTGAGAAGATGGGAGGCAACGGCTGAAGCTGCAGACACACTGTAGCGGCTGGCTCAGTGGCTACGGAAGCAAAGGCCCGGACTTCAGGAGTAACTGGCTCTGCGGCTACACCGAGTGGCTGGAGCAACTGACCCACGGGCGACTGGCGACTACCGGAGATTGTAGCCTCCGGAATACTGGCGCTGCCTCCACTCAACCTCCCCCAGCTGTCCCACACCCCTTTCACACACCCCTTGCTGCACCCCTAGCTCCACTCTCACGTCACCCCCCTAGCACCACTCCCTCGGCCCCCACACACCCACCCCCCTCAGCGGCAGCTGCAGCAGTGGGAGACGGAGGAGGAGGAGGAGCAAGTGGCGACACACACACACCCGCCACCCCCATACCCGCCACCCCGCAGTTGCACGAGGGCAGGAGGCAGCAGGGGCGGCTCGCGGGCTGCAGGGGCGGCACGCGGGCTGCAAGAGGGGAAATGGTGGGCCCACAGGCTAGGAGCGTAACCACTCTGATAGCATGTCGAAGATAGCAGGTAGAAAGATAGAACACGAAAGAGGGTTTGCACTAGCAGGCAGTTGAGTACATATAGGAAACCCTAAATTGGGCTGTACTCGCTATAGAGTACCCCACTTCAGGCTAGACAAATACAACATTCTGACATCGTAAGCACGCACGGCCACGACAGAGGCTCTCGCTGAGCTTGCGCGACACCCACGCCATGGTCGAATTCACTCTCGCGACACTGACGCAGGAGCAACTCGACCGTCTCGTGCGCCAACTCGAAGACTCGGCGCTCGAAATTGCGACACTCACGGCGGAACGCAACTCCGCTCGTCAGCAATCCACGGTGAATGCTCCAGCGCCACCACACGCACCTGCAAATGCACCCGCACAATCGGAGGAGCCGATCGTCATTTGATCAGGCACACAGACACAAAACAACAGCGTGGGACAGCGCTCAGGCGCAGCCAGTAATGGCGCTGCTCAATCGATGCCTGGCATGGAGAGGAACAAGACCGTGCCAAGCCCGCGGGAGCCTTGCGAAGCCCGTCGGCACGTGGAGTTTGCGGCGACAAGTGGCGACCACGCCATCATGGCACCAATGCCACTCAAGCCGCAGCGCCCGCCCTGTTTCGACCCGAGCCAGCGTGAACATCTTTTTCGAAGATCCGATATGCCGTCTCGCCGCTGAGGGGCCCCGCCTTGGACTGGTGGCGAGTCATCGTGACGTCGCCATGCGCCTACGAGCCACCGTTGCAAGAGGAAGGGCCCACGGGTCCAGCCGTCACCTGGAGTTCATTTTGCGAAACCGCCCAGTACAGCACGTTGAATGCGTGGTGCGCAGGGCTTCGGGCGTGCTTCGAGCCGATCGTGGCTTCTATTTCGGCGCGTCAGAGACTGCGTACTTGGCGGCAGCTCGTGTCGGTTCGAGACTATATGAGCGGTTTTCTCGCATTATGCGAGCAAGTCGGCTACATGGTCGACCGTTACGTCGGAGGGCTGAAGCCGGACATCTCGCACGAAAACATGTTACGCGGACTTTCAAATTTCAACGAGATTCTCGCGCTCGCCGAGAAAATCGACATTCTGCGCCGTCCGAGACCGGGGTCCTATAATGGACATCGCCCTCGGGGACCAGTCGAGCACGCCACCATACACGCCGTTGCGATGAATGCAGCTGCCGCGCCGTTTAAGGGGCGCTGCTTTGCTTGCAATTGGCCGGGCGATCGCAAGAGCGAATGCCCAGAGGAGCTGAGGCGCCGCGGAGCAGAGCAGGGGAGGGAGTCTCAGGCGCAGGGAAACGCCAGCAGTCAGTAAAAGTTGGGCCAACTACTGACAAGACTGCTTGCTCGCCCAACCGCACCGACCCTCACCGAGTCACAGTACAGATTCACACTATCGATCGGGCTCGGATGAATAAGGAGGGTACATCGACGGATTGCCCAGTACTAATTCACGGGAGAATTCAGGGAGCAGCAGTGAAGATTTTTATCGACGGAGGCGCAAGTCACAGTTTAGTTAATACCGCGACTGCACGAAAACTGCAACTGACACTTAGTCGGTGTTTACCGGAGATAGACGCACGCTTAGTTGACGGCACGCCGCTGGCCATACGGGAAAAGGTGGAGAGAGTAAAAGTCCGCTGCGGGGGGAACTTCGGGTTTACACAGGAAATGCTTGAGACGACATTGGATGGGCACGAAATTCTACTGGGACGTGACTGGCTGCGACGGTATAACCCGCGAAGCGAATGGATGACGGGTAGCTGCACGGTGCGAAGTAGCGGTAACTGGGTTGAGCTACCTCACTGGCGGTCGCCCGAGTCTTCAACGGTGTCGGAGTACTCACTTATCCTTGCCAGCACTGCGTGGTTACATCCTCTGCTCTCACCTCATTTTCCCTAGTGGTTAGTGGCTGGGATTCTGACACGTAGCATATCCACTGGCGGTTTCCACTTAAGCCACCTTCTCATTGGAACCCATGATTCATCCCCGACAGTTTTAAGGACTCTGTTCCATGCCACTGTCGCATGTCTTACTGCGTGCGGCCACTCTGAGTTTCCAAGGTCGGACTCGATCAACAGCGCTCGGGCTGGCTCAAGGATCGTCCTGTTTACTCGCTCGACTACCCCGTTTGACTGTAGTGAGTAGGCTGTAGTCTTCTTCATCCATGCCTCCAATTTATCGCCTATAAATTCCCCACCCCGGTCAGTACGGATTCGCTGCACACGATGCTCCTACTGTGTTTCCATTATGGGGATCCATTCATCATGTACCACTGCTGCTGCGTCGCTCTTTTGCCTCAAAGGATAGGCCCCCACGACTTTGCTCGAATCGTCAAGGATCGTAGAAAATTAGCGCTCTTCCCTGTCCCCTTGCACCGG